CTGGGCCATTCGCGACAAGAACGCTCTGCGGTCGCATAGCTATGCGGGCAGGTAATTGCGAAAACCTTCATGGTCTTGAGTCGGTTGAGCCTTGGTACAGGTTTGTCACCGGCTTCAAAAGGAATGTAGCACACAGACGGCAGTTGGCATGCAAATGAGCTGTCCGGCTTCCGTGGCATGAATAACAAAGCAGTTGGCGGTATCCGTGGGGTTGAAGCCATGGTTTGACAATCTATCATTAGATTAACCTTACGTGAGCGCGCACCGACAGGCAAAGCTGAGATGTGCTGTGGACTAGCAGGTCAAACAGTGCAGGTCAAGCAGACCGCGTCTGCAGCTGATTCCTGAGATTTGCCCAATGTGGGATGCAGCAAATCGAATTCACGTGAAATGCGCGCCACAAAAATGCAGGATGCCCCCAAACCCAGGCAACTGCAGGAAAAACAACTGCGCTGAGCGTAAAAACAGGACTAAATTGCCGCATCGCGCCTACCAGGATTCGTGATTTATGAGACGTTCCAAGTGTGACCAACACCGGACTCAGCACGAGCTACCTCATGCGTCATCCGCGGTCGTCGGCGGAGGGCGCGGCACCCCTTCCACGCTCCGAACAATCAGCAACCGTGTGAAATATTGGACTCCAGACAGCCTTCGGGCTACCGTAATGGTTCCGTCATTAGAAGCGCATTACTTTTCGCGCAGGAAATAACCTTGACGCTTGTTTCGTGACAGATGTCTGCGAACATCCTCACCAGCCGTCTGGGATCGGTCCGCTGGCCAGCCGATTAGATTGACTCGGATCTTCGACATAGCGGTACGGTAACGAAACGGAGCTGCCACGTTGTGTCTCGAGCAAATTGCCGTGCCAGCGTACGCGCCAGACGCCGGAAGTCATAACTTGTTATCCGGAACCTTCCACGTACCTGGCGCCGGTGCTCATGTGGATTGGAGGGACGCTTGGTGGACGCTCGGCGATGCGATGTAGCCTGCATCGTGGCGTAGCAACCTGAGATTCGGTGATGATAACCGTAACTGTCTCTCAGCTGTTTGTCTATAACTTATACTACAATGCAACAATAATTACAACTGTCAGCCGCTTATAATGACTACATTTTGAATGGCAGTGTGATGAAAGTAGTGGATAAATATAATTGTCTTGGTGCGCAAATATCAGATAGGTTTATTTGAAATGGACATATCACAAACATGGTTGGCAAAAGTAGCCAGATTCTCAAGTTTACAAAGAGAGCGGTTAACAGATATCCTAGAATTGTGAAAGAAACTGTCCATAATGAATTAGTCAGGCCAGTGTTGGAATATGTTTTCTTGTATATGGTACCCCAACGCCGCGCACTCACTGGATAGCATAGAAATGGTTCAGGGAAGGGAAGCCATATTTGTTTTAGGCGAGTATGATAAACAAGAAAGCGTGAATGATATGCTTGTTGAGCTGCGGTGGAGGCCGCTGGAACTCATAAGAAAAGTTATTTCTAGAGGTATAATTGAACTATCACTGTAAGCTAAGTGTGCATTGTGTGTTGTATATGGTTGCTGTATCCCGGAGGTTGGTCTTTGCGTATCTGGTCTCATGGTACCAAATCGCAAAGCACCACGAACGTAAAATGACAGATGCGTACATAATATTGAAATAAAATCGACCCCGGAGCGCAAGTTCATAGTTTTTATAGACCTGATGACAAACCATGGGCTTTGCTTCTGCATCTTAAAGATGTCGAATGATGTCATAATGCCATGATATAGAGTGACGTAAGTCATTACATCAAATTATATCATGATTATGTTTATTTCGCTCCTGGGTCATGATGTCAAAGACATTCCTTTGTGTTGACATAGGGATCGAGATTGTTTTATGCCAGTGAATGCTACATCAGGCCCTTCAGCTCACTGGTGGGTGATAGCCTGGCCGTGTTCTCACTGGGGCGAAATTATAAGTGATCTATTGGCCTATAACAACCACAGGGATACACATACCCCAAAGCTATTTAACGGACGACTCCATTTCTCTCCGAGTGCTACACATATTCCATGTTCCATGTTATGCACCTCTGCATTGCCATGCTGCCAATTACTGGCGAATGTTTGAGGAAAACCGCCATGACATTGTGATATTACTTGACCGAGATTAGCACTGATGTTAGGAATCTTGCCAAAACGCGTTTAACATGTAACAGACGTCCTGATTTTATTGCGTCATTTAAATTTTGCCGCATAGGAATAATGAGGTGAACTTGAACAAAATGCATGTCCGAAGAACCTCCCATTACAGTCGTGTAATTTTAACACCCCTATAACGCTATCAATGGCATGTTGACCAAAAACTTCAGATATGTTAGTATTGTACGATTTGGGATAACTTCGTCCTTTAAATCTGGCAATGCGTTGATGGGTTCCGGAGGAAGTCAGTACGGGTATTAAACGCATCAAATGGAATCATACATCATGAAATGGAAGGAACAGATGCCTCAGCAACCAGCGGGATAATCTTCTCGCTTTTGTGGAGCTCATTTCTCAGCCGCAACTGATTGTGGACGCAATATCTAATAGAGTTGTCCAATGATTATGCGCCAGAATATGGATGCTCCTGGCTTTTCATGCTTCCCAAACACAATGAGCGTGTGTAATGTGTACATGAATGGCTTTAAGGCGACCAATGAAGAGCTGGTGCTCGGGCGCCGTCGTCATGGGGTTTGTTTTCTCACTTTCTCAGAGAGCTTACGCTGTTGACAGCGGGGTTGTTGTTCACCCAGTGCAATTTTTCCATCAATCGTCGTAACAGATTAGGAATACATACAGCAACAGAAACCCTCCAGATTCCACTTGTAATACATTACAATAATGCTAACGGACAAAGGTGACAAGGCGTTCGTTTGAGGCTCAGTTAGCGCCATTGCGGTCGTTAGTATTAACGATGTCTTCTACAAGCTTTGAGCTAAAACATGTAGTACAATTAGCCATACCTTAACATAGCACGTTCCAGAGCAGTTCGTTACAGCTAATTGTTGCACAGCAAAAGATTCACGCGTTGCACATTTGTTCCATACGCGTTGCACACAAACTGCGGCATGGGCATACAAATGTAGTCCTTTGCCAATTTTCACTGCGACTGATTCAGGCGTCAACATTCCTAACTTCACGGTAGGAACACTTTTTGACTGCATCGTGCTAACAAAGCAAATGAACATGCCTTTAGCCATTATTAGTCTGCCGCAGCTTCCTGTAATGCGTGTGACATCCGATGATCATGCTGGCGTAACATGCACATTAAAAATAGCACGCAGCTTCTATCGAAGTGGCGAGTTGCGCCCTTTCAGTCTGGTGTTTTGAAAGTCACGGAGACTGAGACATGAATCAGAGCTTATCAGGAAGTCGTAAAATTAATGTGAAGCGCCGTTCTGATAACAGCCCAGGTAACAATTATTCTGGAATAATGGCTGCTGACTTTAGCAACCAGAATCAGTCACCGTGACTGCTAGGGTCATCGTTCGTGATTCTGAAGCTAGCTGGGAATGTCGTTTGAAGTAATTTGATGACACGTTTACCGCACACGGTGTTGATTTAAGTTCTCATCAATGACGCTGTGCCAGTGAAATCTTGAAGGACAAAAAATAAAGATGAATAACAGACGTAGTAGCTAGCTTGACTGCATATGCGTAGCTAGGCAGCTGACGAACCTCACGGATAGCTAGCACTTGTGTATATGCATATATATATATATATATATATATATATATATCCCCCTCTCTCCCTTTTCTTTGTCTCCCTCTCTCTCTCTCTTTTTCTCTCTCTCTCCCCCTCTCTCTCTCTTTGTGCGTGAGTGCGTGGATGTGGGTGTGGGTGTACGGGAGGCGCTCTTAATCAGGACAGCTGTGGGTCCACTCAGCCGGGGCAAACAAGGGTCACTTACTCTCGGGCTTTTACTTTTATGGCGCCCATGCTTTCCAACTTGCTGCAATTACTCTCTCCCCTCCCCCATTCTCTCTCTCTCTCTCTCCCTCTCTCTCCCTCTCTTTCTCGTGGAGAGTGTCTGTCACCCGCTGTTCCGAAACGTTAGCCAAGTGAATGCGATGCGCAGATCGTATGTGACTTTTACTGGTAAATTGCGCATGTCATTGCTCCAGGGTTCAAGCTGCCACCACGTTTTCTACTGTCGGCTCTTTGAAAGCCAGCTCGCGTCGGGAGCTCGCAGCTGCGTGACGGTACAGTAACGGTGCGGAACGAAAACGTCTCGCACCGCTGGTGCAAGGTGGCCCCCACCTGGCATGTCAGATACGCACAGCGATGTAACAAGGGCCGCAATCACCACATCTTAGATCCTCATCCTCGCGAATCGCTCCATCCTAATTGACCCTAACGCATGACTTGTGGTCAATGCCGGTTTTCTTTACGTCCTTACGCTGTACGCTTCGTGATGGCCGGTCGTTTTATGAAAGTGTTTATGGAAAAGGCCGAGGGTTGCGTGCTGAAGGCGAGATCAGTGACGCGAAGTCAGCAAAAACACTCCTTTCTGCTATGCGCGATAACGGCACGCCGTATTATGGGACCTTTTTCTAGTCACGTAACGCCTTACACTGGTTCCATGACCTGTTTCGATCGGCGTCAGGTCATGTAGCGAAAATCAATGCGGATGTAAAAGTTCAAAACTGTCACGCAGCCAGCACCTACAATTCGAAAATTATCATCGTTCCACATATGTGTGGAGGAGGCCGTTGCATTTCTACGCCGTAGTGCTTGTGTGGTTACCTTTTTTGCGCTTCAGTATTACGCCCTACACGACAGTTAGCTCTGCCCAACGTGCTTCTACGGTTAGGTCATGCGTTACAGGACTGAACAGTTAACTTAGCAGCAGCACAGGTGATCGAACTGTTTTCCTTTGCAAAGGATTGTGACGACACTTCGTTAGCTTTTCAGAATGTCGAAATCGCTTACTTGCCGGTTCCTAATAAGACATATGCCAAGAGTGTAGCGACGCACATACGTAATGAGCTGCATTATCTAAGATGCGGCTTTATTTCATTGTACACGAAAAGGCTCCAAGTCAGACAGTACGAACACCATTCACTGCGGTTACAGCCCACAAACTCTCTGCTCTCGTAATCACGCGATGGGTGCAATGTATGCGCACCCAATGTATGCGTACCCAATGTATTCTTCCATATATGAGCTTCCGGCCACACTGAATCCTAATAAAAACGTTACGGCTATCTACAAAGGCTGAGGAAGAACATGTTAGTGACTAAGTTGAATGCAGGGGGTTCGTGGAGGCCGCGCATTATCAAAAGTGCAAACTCACGATAATAATATCACTTGGAGTAATCCGTCCACTGCTAAGGTATATCACTTCACGGAGGACTAGAAAGATCGTGTTCACGTTCATCGCTGGGTGGAGCGCGGCTTGTTCAGCGTTATCGACTTGGAAACGGACTTTTTCTTCGCCTCCGCGGGATCCAGGCGCGCCGAGCTGGACGAGGTGGGTCTCATGAAGCTGGGCGTGCCGACGCGTCGCGGCCGTTCCTTCTCCTCGTGCGAGGTGCCGCGGCTGACGGCCGGACGTGCGGCGCGCGGCAGCGTGGCGGCGGCCCGCGGCGGCGGCGACGACACGGGTGACGTGACGCGCCCGGACGGGGTCGGCGTGCGGCGCGCGCCCCCCGCCGCGCCGTTGAGGCCGACCGCGCGGCGCGCGCCGGCCGCCGGTGGCGCCGACTTGCGGGCAGGAGCCGGGCTGGGTGGTACGGGCCGCGGCGCGCGCCGGCCCGTCTTGGGCGATGTCTTGAGGCTGTCCTCGCTTGAGCGCTTGCTGACAGACGGTGTGCTGCAGAGAGAGCCACTCGAGTTGTGCAGGCTGACGGCTGACTTGTGCGTCGGCTCGGCGTCGCGTCCGCGGCGCAGGTTCTTGGTGAGCGCCTTGAGCGCGTTGGTGGCCGAGCCGAGAACGGGCCGCGGCCGTGCCGCACCGCTCACGCGCACGCTCTGGCTGCGACCGAGGCTACGCGCCGGCTCGGCGGCCGCCACAGTGTCGCGGGAGCGCGCGCGAGGCACGGAGCCGGCCGGCGGCGCGGTGCTCCGCTCGCGCACACTGGGCGAACGCGCCACGCCCGGCCCGACCTTCTTGAGTCCGGCCAGCGAGAGCGAGGTGGGCCGAGCACGCTGCCGGCCCGACGACTCCTCGTTGTTGGCGCTGGTGCCGCTCGTCTCCTCGGCAAAACCCTCGTCGGTGTCCTCGCGGCGCCTGCGCAGGCTGGACATGCGCTTGAGCGGCGCCGCCGGCTCCTTGTCCTTCTTGCCGCGGCCGAACAGCCGGTCGTGGATGGATGGTCCCTTCTCGGTGCGCTTTTTGGCCTCGGCCACCTGGGCACCGTCGATGAGGCTGCGAGCGCGCGCGCGCCGCTCGGCCCGCTTCTCTGGCACGTCCACCTTCTTCAGCTTGTCGGCGGTCTCCGAGATGCTGGTGATGGCGCGCTCGATGTCGCTGTTGGAGCCCCGATCTCCCGCGGCGGCAGGCTTCAGCAGCTCTGGCTCCTCCTTCGGCGACGTCGGCGTCCTCCGCCGCGCCCCGTCCTCTGACGGCGTCCTCCTCAGCGCCGCGTCCTCTTCGGTGGCGGCCGGCGGCGGCGTCTCGGGCTCCTCCCTCTTCCGTCGCGTCGACTTGCGCACGGACGCGTGGCGATCGAACTTGGCCGGAGCCTCGTCCTCCTCGCGCGCTGCCTCGGCCGGCTGCGCCGCGGCCGGCCGCACCGCCTCGCTCTCGCTCTCGGCGTCCTTGGCCAGCTCGACGAGGCGCGCGTATCGCTGCGAGAGGCGCGCGCGGCCGCCCTCGGTGTCCTCGTTCTCCGAGCTGTCGGCAGCGGCCGACTTGACCAGGCCGCGGCGCCGCTCCTCGGCCGCCGCCGGGTCCAGCCGCAGGCTGTGGAAGCGACGCTGCGAGCGGCGCGCGCTGAAGTCCTCGGCTGGCTCATCCTCGGAGCGCCGCGGCGCCGCCAGCCACGTCTGGTTGGGCGGCGCGCGGAAGCTGCGCGTGCCGAGCGCGCGACGCGTCACCGGCGGCGTCTCGATGTTCTCGGCGTCAATGTCAATCTTGTTGGGCACCTCGTCGTTGGATAGCTTGCGGAAGCGGCGCGGGATGGAGGGCGGAAGCAGCGGCTTGTCCGAGACGCTGTCCTGGCTCTCTTGCCGGTCGGCGCGGCGGCGCGGCTCTGAGGGCGCCACTGGAGCCGGCACCGAGCGGCTGACGTCCGGCACCTTCAGTGTCAGGCCGTCCGGCGTCTCGTGCACTGCGCAACAAGGATCAGTTAGATGGCTCCTCAGATACTGTGCTGATATTTCAGATCCTGTGCTGATCCCAGGATTCTGTGCTACAGTGTCGATAGAGCTGAGAAGACCCATTGCAGCAACGGAAATGTTTAAAACGTCTCTAATTTGTGTTTGAAATACACATTTTTACCAGCACTGTGTGGAAGCCATAAATAAACATGGCGCCAAAACCTACCAAGACTGCTCTTCCTGCTTTCGGGGTTTTCGTTGGAGTTATTGGACGACTTCCTCACGTACAGCGGGATACTCTCGTCACTGATCTTTCTTCCCAACCCCTTGATGAGGTCTCTTCGTGCGTCGTATTGACCCTCATGCCGCTGCAAACGGAACACAGCCGCGTCAGAGCCGCGTCGCGTGCTGCCAGGTCCTCGGGATCCTCGGGATCCTCGGGACACCGGTCCGGCTACTGCCGGCTGTCAGGCGACAGCGGAACCGTCTCTAGCTCACCTTAACGCGAGCGTCACGAGCTCCGTCCTGCGTAACGTGACTCACCAACAAGGACCGTCTCACTCAGCGTCCAATGTTGACCCGACGTCGAGAAGTGACGGATGGTGTGTTCTGCTCGTAGGCACGATCACGCAGCGGAAATGTGTGACGTGGATGGATTCATGTGTCACGTGTCTGGCCTACCGAAGGCTACTTCGGTTGGACGCAATCTCCCGTAAGCTGAACACGAAGACAAACACAGCGAGCCCGGCGAACAAACGTGAAACACAAACGAAGGCTCAGCGGTGTGCTTTACACGATCCCTCGGTTTTACAGCGTGGCAAATGCGCGTCATCAAGGCCAGCAGGTCATCAGTTAACGATGTCTGTGATCAGTCCACTCGGCGGCATCTCTCTGGAATGAAAGGAGCGTGGACTGCGTCGACCGCCGACCGCTGGTGCCAGCGTTATAGGCCTCCTGAACGCCGCTATGAACCCTATGCAAACCAGCCTCTACAAACCGCCTTGTCAGCGTCCACCGTAACCGGAAGTGTTTACGGCCAAATAGGTTCGAAGAGTCTGATGCAGCGCGAGTGGCAGCATTACCAGTTTCGTCAGTCGGCGCAATATTGCTTGTCATAGTTATCGATCGCGTCGTTTCCAAGGTTCACGGCCGAACATGCCCCTGCAGATCCAACATGACTGGTTCTAATGCACCGGCTCATCCTTCCATGTGGCGACGAGCCTGCCGTCTTCGGCGCTCAAGCCGGCCTCGGTCGCCGCAGCTGGCGCGCGCTCAGTACCTGGTCTCGGCTGCTGGTACCCTCGGCACTGTTGGGCACGTTCAGGTTGGACTTGCGCCAGGCAGACTTGTCTCTGGGCTGCTGATCCTGAGCCTCTGCAACCCCGCCGGCCACGGTCAGGACGGACAAGACGCAGGACACAGCCCGAGCCCGCAGCGGAAACCCAGACAACGTCCACAAGGTCTGCGTCACAGCAGCAAACTGGCACCTGACCGCCAACGTTGTGTACAGTGTACGCTGGTTGTCCACATAGCTCAGACCACACGATATTGCACACAAAGCGTTTTCATCCCAGTAAGCAGCAGTGTACCCAGTTTGCATGACCTGAAGCACCCAGTTCTTTGAACAGGGACGTGGCCAATCTGAGCCGACGTCTCATTGATAAAGCCACTTTAAACGAAAGGGAAATGGTATTGTTGCACCGGCCTCGGGGCCAGCATTGGGTTTCGTTAGCTCACAGCTCTTTCGTTCGTAGCAGACTGCTTCAAAGTGGTGGAACTACGGACTGCACAAGGAGCGGGCCGGTACTGCGAGCACCGTGCGCTGTCACCGCTACTGAGCCGCAGTCCTCACAGGCACCCGGCCACGCCGTGTGTATGGCCGCCCTGGCGGGGCTTCCGTCAGGGTGGCCGTGAAGCGGACCCATGGCTGACGGTTGCACGCTGCTCCCTGTCAGATGGGGCGCTCCGAGGATACAGGATGGAGCGGCAAGGGAGGAGAACAGGGCGGCTCGGGCTAGCATGGAAAGATGGATGAGGTCATTGGAGCCGCTCGCACAACCTTCTATGGCCTCCATTGCACCCAGTATATCCTTCTGCTCCACGGATGGCTTCCAGTCCTTGTACACGCGCTTGTAAGAGGATGAGCCGCTGTCGAGAGATTTGTCCTCGGGAACAGTGCCGAGTCCTGTAACTGGCAGCTTTGGGCCATCTGGTGGCCACAAGCACAAGCATCAGTTCTGCGGCCACCGCTATCCGACCACCGAAAGATCGGAAGCTTGGGACGGAGGACGTTTGCGAAAGCGGACCAAGGACTCAGCACCGACTGAGACAAATACATTGACTCCAATCAAGATGGTCGTTCATTTTTGATGCAAAAATCTCACCATGCCTCGTTTTGCCACCAAAGTCACTTACATCCGTGAAGAGCAAAGGCTTGGTTCTAATGGCATTTCTCATACAGCTTTTATGCACGCTGGTCAAAGCACAGAACACACACACACACAGACAACTGAAGACAATCAAAGAAATACCGGACTCCCCAGGACACCCTAGCCTCCGCAACCTCTCTGCTTCCCGCAGTTCTCCACGACAACCCGAAGCCAACGACACGGACAGCCTGCTGACCTGATTTTGAGTCAGAGTTGTCGGCGACGCGCCGGTGACTCTGGAGTCGACGTCGACGACTCAGGTCTTCCGCCTGCTCCCGGTCCTTGTCATTTTCCTCGAACCAGTGATCTATTTTCTTCTTCCAGTCGTGGCTGTTGACGGGGGAGGCGGGAGGTGAGTGTTGGGCGTGCAGGAATGCCCCTTACAGCCAGCGTAGTTGTCTGATGGGCGCGAACACCGTGGGCATGGCGGTAGTGCAAGGGGCGCTTAAGGCCAAAACAAATACGTTTGAACAGCTATCAGGTTGTGAGCAGAACGATAACAGAATGAAGACACGAATCGTGGTGTTTGTAAAACGCGAGAACATACAAAGCCCTGCAATACTAGATGGGTTTCGAATGTAATCAGCCTAACAGCCGACATTATCTTTGCAACTTTGCTCCCAAGGGATTAAGAGCACAATTTGTTCCCAGTCTCAATGACCACCGGTCGACAGGCCGCGGTGCAGCTGACCTGGGCCGTCCTTCGGCTGGTTTCTCCGCCTCCTCCTGCGTGGGCGTGGTCAGCGAGGGCGAGGCGGGACGCTCGCGGTCGGTCAGGAAGTCGGCCGACAGCAGGTCGGGCCGCCGGCGAGCGGGCCCACCCCGCATCCGACGCGCCATCGAGCGGTCCAGCGAGCCGTACGATTCTGGGGCCGCGCACACGGTCACGTCAAGCACAGCAGAACGCGCTGAGGCTCGGACGAAGCGGGGAGAGGGGGAGGGGAGAGAGAGGGGGGGGGGGAGGGCTCGGCCGCAACAGTAGGATAGCTCAGGTCGAACGACGCGGCTAATGCTGTTTGCTTTAAGAGTTTTTTTTTGTTCTATTAAGATTTGGTGACATTCGACTGGGTGATACCAGACAAACGCCACTGTTGCTTCGAGAACCGAGGTTGACAAGACTTGCGTACCATACGGACATGCATACTGCTGAAAACAGTCCAACAAAAATAGCTTGAAAACCGCCCCCCCCCCAAAAAAAGCTTGGAAACAGCCCAGTTACGCCTGTCTGGCGACTAACCACGGATTTCAAACAATCAACGCGACTTGACGTCTAGTTTGCGGTGGTGAGACTAGGAAAGTCTGGTGCCGCTGCGGACGAGACAAGCCACATACCCAGTCCTCCCCACGACCTGCGCTCGCGAGGATTGTCGTTGCCAGCCGCTCGCAAATAGTCCAGCAGCGTGTCGTCCTCCTCACTAGGTACGCGGCTCCTTCGACGGCGCACCGTGCCTGCCGCGAGAGGTCAGGGTCAGGACAAGAGGTCAAGGTAAGCCTTCGACACGCCGCACCGGGGTCCGTCCAGGTTCGCAGCCAAATCATCCAGAGGCGACAAGGGTCGCATCACCAGTAGTTGCACTGCGCGTGCACGCCTACGGCCGGTACAGTACCCCTAGCGCTCCCAAGAATGGCCAGTTCAGACCAGAGAGCCGTGGTTCGAATGCAGCTGGCGCGATGACATGAAAGCAAGCAGCGTGGAAGACGAATGTCGGGGTGCATCCAAGCCCCTTTAAGCTACAGTTAAGCAAAGTACACTAGGGCAGCCTGTGCTGCCATTCTGACATAAATACAAAGTGATGTCTGTGTACAAGGTGTCCATGAACTGTAAGCATTATAGCTAAATCCTCCAGGGCCTTCCTTCATGTAAGGCCACTGACCGTGGTCCTGGGGCTCTCGCTCTCACCACGTGATTGAAGGAGGCAGATATCTACACAGGACCACGGACCGGAGGCAAATGTGACCAGCAGCCCCTCCCGAAGCGCGTGGCGTGCTCCACATGGGACCACTGACCGGGAGAGTCTGTGATCATCACGCCGTTGGGCCCCTCGCCGGGCGTGCCGGCCGTGCCGGAGAAGCTGCCCAGCCGGTTCTTGCGCGAGATCCGTGGGCTGTTCGCAATCGACGGCTCGTCCTCGGACGTCAGCGAGCCCGTGTTCAGCACGTCCAGCATGTTGCGTCGCTTCCGCTGCGGCTGCGGCGTCAGTGGCTGGCAGTCACGGGAGAAGGGTTAATATAAGTCGCCCCTTGGTGCCGATGCATCGCCAGCGGCGTAAGGTCGAATCGAAATGGTTAGAAATGGGGTTTAAAATGCAGAAGTTTTACAGCTGTTCTGTGGTAGCGGCGACAGGTACAAAAAAGCGCCATGAGCAAAACGTAGCAGCAAAGGAGGTGGTTATGAATAATTTCTTACTGAACAGTCGTATACCACACCGCTCTGTACACATAAATCTCCATAGCCGAAACGGACTACGCCAAAACCGAAGTTTAGGCGCCTCACCTGTTCCATCTTGCGTTCACTGTCCTTGATGCTCGCCAGAATGCTGTCCGGATTGTCTGGCTCGGAACCAGACAAAGAAACTGGTCTCTGTCCGACGACTGCGGAAGGGCAAGCAAACCAACGCGAGGTGAGCTTGGGGCAACAATGTCGTCGTCCAAGCATACATGTGCAGAGGGATACGTAAACAACACCTTTTAGACTCATGTCTGGATCCCAAGAGTGAATCCTGGATCCCATGTAATGCTTCGATGGCACGGTCTATATCCCAGATCTTGCACTCCATTTTTGTGATCCAGACACGTGCCTGAATGAGAAAAAGCAGAATAGAAATAAACACGAGTGAACATGTAAAGAGACCAGTATGATGTTGAGGGACGAGGGTAGGAGCAAGTAGGAATAAGAGTAGGAGTAACCCCATCACTGCAGCAGGTGCAGCCTTGTAACAATTTGTACATGAACGGATGTGACATTTTGACTAGGCATTAGCCTAGAGTAGCAAACTGCTGCCGTCGTGCTCTAAGTCGGTCCCCACCTCCGGACTTTCTCTTGGCCTGCTGCTCCTCGCGCGCCCGTTTGCGTGCGTTGGCCTCTTCCTCCTGCTGCCGCCTCTTCTCGTTCTCAGCCACGGCCTTCTTGAACATGGTGGCGAAGCTCCAGAATATCTGAAAATTCGGCGTAGCGTAGGGGACGCTGCTTGCCGCCGCTAAATGTGTCAACCCAGTCACGCCCACTGATTTCCTAGCAGGTAACATTGCATGGCGCACATGAGCACGTTAACGCCCCACGAACGTTATACGGTGCAATTGGTAGCACAAACTGCACAGCGGTCAGGCAGTTGCAATAGTATTTTCTGCATTTAGAACACGTTTAAGCTACAACATTATGCCAGTACGCAATCGTTATAAGATCATTTCAATTTGTATATAAAGTATAGTCATTTCAGGACAAGCAAATGCCACCGCCGTCAAAAGATCAGCGGCACAAATCCATACAGATACATATTTGGAACGTTTGCTAGATGAGCCAGTCACAACTCCAGCACAGCCTGGCCGCTCCGTTCCACTCACCTCCATGGCGGTCTCCATCTTGAACGTGCCTGGATCCTCACAGAAGAAATCGGCCAACTCCTTCCGGCAAACCTCCAGGTGCTCCAGCATCTTGTTGAGCTCCTGCAGCTGGTCGGTGGCGTATTCCAGGAACTCTTCCGTCTGCTGTCGCAGCTGCTTCTCCGTCTTTCCACTGGACAGCTGGTTCTTAACCTGCAACGAGAGAAACATGCATGCTTCTGACGCGTCTATCAAGGTCACAGACATGCTAGGCCACGGATGCCAGACAGGATGCTACTCAGAGATTGAATCACATAAAAGCGAAAGCGGTGAGAAAGGAAAGGAAGGAGTGTCAAATGAATTATAATTCCCCCACCATCACCGCAATTCATACTCGCTAAATTGGAACAAATAGTGTTTTTGCCTCCCATACTTCCATTTGCCATAATTTTGTCAACTAATCGTATTCTGTAAGAACTGCTAGTTATGCGTGGGGGAATCAATAAGTCAATAAGTTTGCCCGACAAAAAGGAACTCAGGCTATTCTGAGCCTGGAAACTAGGTTACATTTATGTTGCCACCTACTTCGCACGCTAGGAGATGACTGGGAAAAGCGGGAGAATGTAGAGATCTGAGTCAACAAACTCCACATATCTCGAGAGTTCGCCGGATGAATCACAGCGGACAAGCAGGATCGTTCTGGAGCTCCAGGAGCCGGATTTTGGGAAACAGCTCGATAAGCAGAACTAAGCGGGCAGGAACGGTGAGGTCCGACCAACGTTAGCGGTGATTCGGCACTTCGCCATCGACCGAGTAGCGGTTATAGGATGATATAACGCGACATCCCCAAAACGGCGCGCGAGCACAGTAAAACCCCTCCAACTTGACAATCCCCCCTCCGGCATTGCCAGTTCTCCAGCTGCTTGCGCTCCCATTCCAGCCGACCTTGGTCACGCTGGCGTCCAGCTGGGCCACGTCGGTGCGGATCTGCTCGATGGTCGACTTGCTGGCCAGCTCGAGCTCCTCCAGCTCGTCGGGGAAAGCCAGCGTCTCGGGGTGGCGGCGCGCTGCCTGCTCAGGCGATCGAGTGCATCAGCGTCATGCCCGGCTTGTTGGCGCGCACGTTCACCAGCGTCTGCAGCGACGACAGCTTGATGCCGGCCGCGTTGCCCGCGTAACCGCCCTGCCGGCAGAGGGGACAGTCTGAGGCAGAGGTCCAGCGGGTCAGAGCGCGACACACGCCACGAGGCATGCAATGGCCCGTCTCCCTCTGGCTCATTGCATTTTTTCTAACGTGGATGTTAGTGTGTGAATTTCAGTATTGCAAAGGACAGACCGGGAGCACTCGCGGTCAGCCATTCAGGGCCGGTGGTTTCGTAGAAAAAGCTTTCAGTAAGGAAATGCACACGGCGTATGCGAAAGTTACACGACCATTTCGATGTGTTTAGCGAGAACGGTTTCTTGTAGCGCAAGACATGACCAAGGTGGATCTGATCGCTCTTCACTTCGGTCTCGAGTTCAGGGATTCCAGAGGACTTCAAACAATGACAATTGTCAGGGAATGTCTGACACGTGACACCTGCAGCATATGCTATTGGGCAGTTTGGACAGGGTGTGCCAGTGGAGCGTACCGAGTTCAAGAAGTTGCCAATGTTGACCGTCAGGTACAAAACTTTGTGAAGATTCTCGTTCCTTTTCAGATCTGTAAAGAGATGTCATTCATGAGATCGTTGAAAGCACGGACAGACTGGAATCGACCGACTATCTGGTGGACTTGGGACGGATAAATATTTTCGTATCATGACAAACGAACGCCTCCTATCAAACCACCGAATTCATACGAAATGGCGCAAGTCAGCAGCAGCGAACTAAGTACGATCGGTGCTTTTGCGATTGCGCGGGTCGCGAGCCGTCACGCCGCCCAGGGGAGGGAGGGGGGGGGGGGGGGTAAGATCGGTGCTCACAGCCTCCCCCCAAGCATCAGTCTTGTACTTAGAACAGGCTCGTCACCGCAGCGGACTTCGGGTACTCGACCTTCATCCGGATTATGTGGTAAGTGATCGTTGTGCGCACGTCAAGACAACAGAAACTGCGCAGCAGCCTGTCAGATTTAGATATGCGTCATATATTCATGGGCTAGTGAGGCATTGACGCCGGGAGCTAAAACGATACAGCCTGAGCCTAATTTTCATCGGTCTCGTAGCCAAAGTGGCATCGCGTGAGAATTCGTCGCCCGATTTCGCCAGCAGCCACTCACCGTCGGCGGCGTACATCATGGCCGTGATGGAGGACTTGAGGGAGTCGTGGTTGGAGTCGAACTCCTCCTGCAGCAGCATGCTCTCGACCCGCAGCCGAAAACTGCCAACGGCGTCACATTCTGAGTAAGGGTCCTTGTCTCCGTCACACGGCACCGACTGCTCATGACACGGGAGCGCAAACCTGGAGGATGGTCCTCGCAAAAGCGTAGTTTCAAACAGCGTGCTCGTACAGATTTGTTGATTTGGGCAGTACTTGTTTTGGTCGGCCTGATTGGTTTTGGTGCGAGTGACGCCCAAAGCGTCAAAGAATAAGAACTAGTGCGACCGTAATCAGCCACACGTTCATCCACGCCCGTCATTTTAGCTTCCATCACCTGTAGGACTAAAAAGTCCCAAAAGTATCAACTATCTGTTTAGACCACTAGGCACGAACTGGTCTGACACCTTTCATGTTGGCAAGGGACTGTGCAAACACCTCGATATTCTCTTGGAACATCCTTACGTAACCCGCGACAGGTCACACTCCAGGAGAGCCCACTCGCGCCGTTCAGTTCCATTCAAGACGTGCCCTAAACATCACGGCTGACAATGCGGACAATGGCAGGTTGACCAGGCACATACGTCAAGGCATATCACTCTGTATTAGCCCCGGCTGCCAGGGAGCGCTCAAAGGTCATAGCTAGACAAAGCTGGGGCAAAGCTCCATCGCCCACCGCGCCCGATTGCTTAGGGACCTCAGTGGGCGACTTAGACAAGACGGACTGCTGATCTCACTCGGTCTCAATAAACACCTGCTCGGATGTGACGTTCACGTGACCTGCGTCTGCACAGTGATCCGGCCAAAGCCGATAAGATTGTACCAAGTGCGGACCGCCCGACGGAGTCGGAGTGGGGCGTACCTGGGCACCTGGATGAGTCGCACCATGAGGCGCTCGGCGCTGCCCAACCGCGCCGGGTCGCCGTCGTAGCTGTTGAGCATGTCGACCTCGTCCGGCGTGGGCAGGATGCGCAGCAGGCCGCGCAGCTTCTCAGTTCCCAGCTGCACGGCCTCGCCCGATCGCACCAGGTCCACCACGTCCACGCTGGAACTGAGGTCACGGGTCAGGGGCACGTCCGCCGCGTCCACGCTGGAACTGAGGTCACGGGTCAGAGGCACATCCACCACGTCCACGCTGGGACTGAGGTCACGGGTCAGGGGCACGTCCACCACGTCCACGCTGGAATTGTGGTCACGGGTCAGGGGCACGTCCGCCGCGTCCACGCTGGAACTGAGGTCACGGGTCAGGGGCACGTCCACCACGTCCACACTGGAACTGAGGTCACGGGTCAGGGGTACGTCCACCACGTCCTCGCTGGAACTGAGGTCACAGGTCAGGGGTAGATCCACCGCGTCCACGCTGGAACTGAGGTCAAAAGTCAGGGGCAGATCCACCACGTACACGCAGGGACTGAGGTCACGGGTCAGAGGCAGGTGCACACCGACCGCACTGGAACTGAGGCCGCGGGTCAGACGCAGGTCCGCAACCGCATCAGATCCTCTACGTCCACACCGGAAAGAAGTGATTGGTCGGGTCAGAGGCAGTCTACCAATCGACACTGGAAGCAAGATCAGAGGTCAAATGAGTCCCAGTATGTCAGCACTGGGAATAAGGTGTAAAGGGTAGCGAGAGGTCAAATCATGTGGAAAGCCAAAAGGATGGAAATGAGAGCAAAGCCACGAGACTGGTGCAGGTGGTTAGCCCAATGCAGCTTCATGCATTTCACCACCCGCGATCGGGTGGAGTTAGCACCTGCAGCAACCCTTGGTAGCACGGGATATAATAACCGGGTAGGACAAAATCGGAAGTTAACCAATAGGCCATTCTCGCCCAGACATCGTTGCATTTACATCGACCACGTGATTCATACTGTCGCAGATCACGAAAAAGGTTTTATAAATCATCAAGGCATTTGAACCGTTCCGGGGTGCTCCAGCAGCGGCAATATCATATCAGTGTTTTGGAGATGTCAGCCAGGTATAGATACTTGCCGCAGATTATCCTCTTAAATCACTTAAGTTCGGTACCTATGTGCTGACCACACCTGACCTCCGATGGCGGTCGGGTGTGACCGGAGTCTACCAGGCACGGGCCAAAAGCTATTCCTGAAATTCGGAGCTCCATCCACCCCGGGGTAGCTGGGTTCAACAACCACGCGCTCACCCGCTGCGCGAAGAATGGGTGGAGTTTTCCAGGCTGGCTTACCCGTTCCAAAGTCATGTGAGCGCGGATCGGGCTGGTTTGATCTATTTCAAGTTATGTTCGATTGTTCAGGTAGGTCAGGTTATAGCCACAGGCTTGTCACCGCCTCTCGCATCAGTGGCAGCGGGGAGAACTGAAACGCAGCTCTTTGAAAGACCCAAATCCTCCGAGGAGGTAAATCGAGCATATTAGTAAATCGAGCCTACAAGTGTAGGATGACTGAAGTGTATATGATATTTGGTACGTAGTGATAGTATGGTGTGTCTTACGCAGCGCTAATGGTGCAGGTAAATGAATAAATGGTAGTCGTGCCAATTACGGAAATATAGGCAAATTAGGATCCCACCCCTACTGGTCCGACTTCAATCGAATGGGCTGAGCCGCTGCCAGGTGCCGCCCGGACTTGAGCAACACCTTTGTTCCGCCTCGGTCTTCTGCGCCTTATCTACAGGACATCCAGAGTTCGTTTCAGGCTGACCAGAGCCTCGCGGCAGCGGTTACGTCGGAGCTTAGCATGGGTATCACCTATCAGTGCCCGTCTTTGTGTCGTTCCATGAAGTGAGCGATGCATCAAAACCGGTCTGAGCTCGCTTGAACCAGGCAGACGCGATTTGATCATGAGAAAGCCGGCCCACAGCCCAGCCTCAGCATGTCGCGACGACGGTACGGCACGGAATACTGCGAGCGGTACCCTGCCCCTCGCACTGCGCTTCTAAGTCTTGTAGAGCGCGGGACTGTTGCCGGCGATCGAAAGAAGCCGTGGCCCTACTGATACCGTCCTCTTGCCCTGAGCGAGCTCTTGGCTTTAACCATTGCTTAAACTTTGGCTTTTGGACTTCCGACTTTTAGCTTTGACCATCCCCGTGCGTGATGACAGTGCACGGTGGTTGGCGAAGATGCACGATGGAAAGGCTGCTGATTGAAGTTGAATGCATGGTGGTCACAGGGTGGCAAGGCATCGCGGCAAGGACACCTAACCCAGCCTCGGGTGACACGTCATGACCATCGAACGGAAAATCTCCCCACTCAGTGCAGCGATAGCACGGGCAGGCCTCCCTGAAATCGTGCACGTCATATGCCCTCAAGACAAACTCCAAAGATGACTCATCGCATGAGCAGGCGGTTTTCATCTCTCACGTATTTTCTCCCCTAGAAATGAAAAAAAACAGCGAGCGCATCCAACACGTGCTGTGTTGCTTACAGGGCTGACACGCACAGAAAGGAGCGAGCTCAGGGCCGCTGAGCCAGGCCCTCTGCAGGCCGAGGACCTCAGCCCCAGCCATGCATCCTCTTCGCCCTCCAGCGGCTGCCGGTAGCGCGCCTCCCATCCGTCCCCAGTGACGCTTCCACACAGGCGCTATTGTGGCGCATTGTGACGCGCTGTGGCGCGTCCCGCGCCGTGCCGGGAGGACGGCCACTTATAAGGCCATTTTGGGCGTCTCTGCGCCGTCGTCTGGCCCGCTCGTTTCACGGATCATTTGGCAGAGGAGCGCCGCCCTGACGGCCGGGTCACGGTCACGTGTCAGTCGCGTCACGTCTCACACACCGTCTCACGGGACTCTCACGGGCTTCGTCACGAAACGCTCGGGTCACGGACTGCAGCTTGAGACGCCCTGCGGTCAGCGCCACGGAGAGTCTCTCGGACTGTTCTCGGATGGGCGTTGTCATATCTAGGCGGTCGTCTCGCGGACTACTGCATGAGACGCCCTGCGGTCAGCGCCACGGAGAGTCTCTCGGACTGTTCTCGGATGGGCGTTGTCATATCTAGGCGGTCGTCTCGCGGACTACTGCATGAGACGCCCTACGGTCAGCGCCACAGAGTCTCTCGGACTGTTCCGCGATGGGCGTTATCATATCTAGGTGGTCGTCTCGCGGACTACCGCATGAGACGCCCTGCGAACCGCATCCAGGGCCATCTCGCGCACGCTGACGGACTGGGCGCAGACGCCACATTGTCGGATGTCAGGGACACAGCGGATGTGACCATGGCCACGGCGGGGTTAAAGGAGACGGCGCCACCAAGATGGCCGACGGCCGCCCCGCTGGCTTCCAGCGTTTATCGTGCTATCACGGCAGCTGTGAAGTCAATGACATTTGACGAATGGCCTCCGATCACTCCGCAGCCCTGCGGGCTGGCATATTTGCTGGGTCTTGTGGTGAAAAGAGCATATTTCTGCACATGTCGCGGCCCTGAAAAATCATCGGTGACGCGCAAGCCAGCCAGCACACGAGGTACGGCATTCCAAGTGCTGCAACAACTTTTGTCTCCAGCGAACACATGGCGTAAGATAATTCGATTGTTTTGGCCGCAACCACTGAATAAGCACTAGCATCTGAAACGTGTTTTAATTGTTTCAGGTGCTTGAAGTGTTAACCTCATCACTAATTAACAAAAGTTCTGTTTTAAAGTGCATGTTTATAGTGTGTTTCCCCCCCCCCCCCCCCCCATTTAAAAGCGTTGATTTTTTACCGCGGAAGTCACACATTGTGCAGTAAGTTTTCTCTTGGCCTGCGGTCTTATATATACAAGAATGTGCTTTTCACTACTCCTCACTATTCCACTGACAGGGAAGGTCCAGCTCAAGCTCCCCTCTCCTCTTCCAAATTTAATTTGCGGTTTTATAGAATAAAACACTAGCACGGTAACTCAGCGGGTTTCAGCCCTTTCTAAGCGCTGACCCAGCTTTAAAGAGTAGCGATCCGTTCTATAAGCTACGTTCTACGGTTCTTCTGAGCACCTCACTATCGGTGGTGCACCTACCGTACACGGACCAGTAAGACGCCTTTTACAGCACGGAATGAACAGTGTTTGAGATGAGATTACGATCATCACGCAAATATCAGCAAAATACGGCCAAATGGTCTTCTATCCAAACGCATATAAATGAATTTTTTCATGGATTGGAATGTCCTCATCTCATGAATTTATCAGGCCGGGGTGTGCTGGTCGTTTGCGTCCGCGAATTCACTCCCAAATTGTTCATATCGTGAACACTTTCCGGCTATATGTCTGGCACGGCGAATAATTTTCAGTTGACCAAATCACCCATTTTGCAAATATTTACAATGCTAGCAATCGAAGGATTGAGAAATAAATCGACATTTTGGGTGCGCATTGGTTCAAATGAACGGGACTCCGCACCTATGTAGATCGCAGGCGCAGTCTCCCTTTTGTCACAGCGCGATCTTTCCCGGCACGATACTCAGTTGTCTCCTCCGCCGGTATCAGTTTGTCTCATGTCGCCGCGGCGAGATGCCAGCACGCCTGCCCGGCGAGATATGGATCTGCCTCCGATCGTGTTCTTTAGGTTTCCTCGACGTTTCACTTTTGCACTTCCCACGTCCCATTCTGTCGCATGGGAAGCGGATGTAGTGACATTGGCCGGGCAAGCCCAGCCCAGGCCGCCCGAGCCAACCGCTGTCTGGTTAGTTCCCGCGTGACCTGAGACCTCGCTCGCAATAATTACAAATATCCACTTAATGAGAAATTGTGTATTTTTGTTTTCATCTGGCTTTAAGGTATGGAACCCCTGGTTTGACCTGTTAGATGAGCCACAATGATTTTCTGTCCAAACCATGCCGATATGAAAGTTTGAGGATCACCGTGGTTAAAAGATTAGCCGCACCAAAAGATAACTTGTTTTGTTATTGTGTCAATACCCTTACCTATGCCACTGAATGTATACATAATATATATATATATATATATATATATATATATATATATATATACACATGCGTATGCTCATGCAGGTTGGTTTCATCATTTAACCATAACGTAACGGATCTGCTTCCGTCCAAGTCTGCACGACCCAATCCATCAGGCAAACGACCCAAACTTGGGTCAT